ATTATTATTATTAGTATGTTATTATTTATATAGCACCATCAAATTCCGCAGCACTTTACAGTGGGTGGACGAACAAACATGTAGTTGTAACCAGACAAGTTGGACACACAGGAACAGAGAGGTTGAGGGCCCTGCTCAATGAGCTTACATGCTACGCAGAGTGGGGTAAAGTGACTCAAAAGGTAAGGTTAGTATTTGTGGCAAATCTAGCCACTTGGACATTATTTATGTACTATCGCTTTAAGGGTTGCCTGTATGATTTTCGTGTTATGTGTGTTTCTGGGTATACTGTAATACGATTGTGTAGCTTTGTATTGCCTGCATTGGCTATCTGCCGAAAGCAGATAGCTGATTCCCTTTCGTTTCACGAACGGCACTTTTGAGGGGCGTTCGTGAACCGAAATAACCACCCTGTAACAGCCCACACATTGAGAGACGTGTGGCGCTCGGTAACCGATTGCAACAATGTTGCAATCAGTAATTAGAGGCTCTACTAGGTGGCCGTCGTTCGGCTACCGACCATGCGGTGGTCGGCCATCTTGGATCCTTTGTTTCCCCAGCGGTGTTTGGTCATCGAGCGCGTGGTACTAAAAACGGCTACTCGACGACGCAAACACCGCTGAGCTTCCAGGCTGTTCAGGAGTCCCGGGCCGTTCGGTATTTTGTTCCCCATATAGCAATCAGTCTTTTAAGTGTGTGTTTTAATGAATATGTTTTTCGTGCGGCGTTTGGTTGTTTTAGCTGGGATCTGAGCGGGAATCTCACGAATGATGCGCTCAGACCCCAGCTATCTACTGAATGTCCATTCGTGCAAATAGATCTAATATTCGAAAAACTGTATATTTTAAAGTAATTTGCCGGTTCTGCTGCACGGAGGGATAATCCACTTAACGGTACATTCCAGTGGGAGGATCCTTCTTGTGCAGCAGTGCCTTATGGGAGAAAGGCTCTGTACATTAAGTTCCCCACGTAGTCCACCCCTGGAATACCCCTGGGATAGGACTCAGGAAACCCCTTGCATGGGGAATTGTATAAATTGTGGAGCATGGGGAATTGTATAAATTGTGGAGCCTGTGAATAAAGCCTTCAGTTGACTCTCAGAACTGTGTTTCGTCCGGTTACTGGGAGATTGGGGATATTGCCTTGCTTTTCAGCGCTTGACTGTGGATTACCTTCTGAACCAGCGGAGATCGTGGGATTTAATATTGCCGCTCCGCTACAGTATTAGACTAATGACAGTTGCAAGAAAGGAATCAGTCGGGAGCTATTAACAGTTTAATTGATACGCTTTTATGAAGAAGTGGGTTTTTAATAATTTTTTGAAGGAGTGGAGACTGGGTGATCAGATAATGGAGGAGGGAAGTGAGTCCCACAGAAACGGTGCAGCCCTCAAGCAGTCTTGAAGGCGAGCATCAGAGGTGGGAGTACGGACAGAAGATAGAAGTAAGTATTCAGCAGAGTGTAAGGGCATAGACGGGACATACTTGCAACTTTCGAAGGATAGATAGGTGAGAGCAGCATTACGTAAAGATTTGAAAGCAAGAACCAGAATTTTAAATTGATTATATTATATTAATAGGAGGATATAATAAAAAAATGCACGAGATATGACAAGTCATGCCCCTGGAAAAAAATTTTATTGCTTATTCTTTATAGTATACACTCTTTTTGTGTTTACAGATGTGTAATACACAGCAAATTAAAATAAAAATATGAGAATTTCCACTTCATTAACCAGACTGCCAGTGTTGCCATGTTAATACATGGCTAGTTAAAAAATTGCATCACAGCAATCATAGCAGTATGCATTAGGAATCACATGAATAAATTTGAAATTGACACAAATCACTTTCAAATCTCTTTCTGTGGCTTTGGAGAAAGGCATTTAACTAACTGAAAGGTGTTTGACTTAATAATGTTTACCATACTTGTGTTATTTAGAAAATGTGACTAAAACTAAGACCAACACATGGGCCCATGTTCTCTACAGATTAACTGATCCTTTAATCTCAGTTTAATGCAAAATGATTTACAAGCTCCAAACAATGAAACTCTCAGAGGAAGCAAACAGAAAACTAGTGCTTGTCAAGTTTCCATAAAGATGAGCTTCTGAGCTATGTACCAAGTAATGTCAGCAGACATGTTCATGGATAGTAGGAACTGCTCAGGAAACAGTAAATTAAAAAAAAATAGTTTGTGAACATTAAAATCTTTCCCACGTGAGTTATTATACTCTAAAAGCTTGCATTAACATAATATTCACTCCAATTTTGTTCACATCACTATTGCCATAGCACACACCTCGA